GTATCGGAGTCCTTCCACTTTCGCCCCTCTTCAAACCACCGACATTTTTTGTTTTCTTTTAACACTAAAGGTTTGTGTTTTAAAAGTGAAGTGAAGAATGACTTTTTTAATAAATGAGAGACCATCAATAGGCCAGTAAAATTAGTTAAAAAATTGGCTGTGTCTGGAAATAATTCTCGGAAAGCTGGAAATCGTTTTAATCCTTTTGTTTTATCTAGAAGTAAAAGGATTTAAAGTTTGTCCCATTTTTACAGGTGAGCTTCTGACCTGAGACCACAAAAACCTTGAACCTTTAGGGTTATTTTTAAGTTTTTGCTAAACGTCAAAAAACCGTCAAGACCACATAAAAACACACCATAGAGGAATTGTAGAGCATAAAATTTCGCATCCATTCAGTATCTGGCGATAAATCGAACCAATAATAAGTGATTTCTAGTAATTTAAATAATGTCACTTTATTAATAAATTATTGAACATTGCAAATGTTATGAGATTGCGTATAAATTTTCTTCATTTGAAAGAAAGTATTCTTATGTGAGGGACATTGTTTCATCCAACTTGACACTGGCTGCAATGTATTTACTCCTAAATTACTGACTAAAATCAGCTGTTTCATTATTCAATGTAGTTTGAACCCCCACAACAACAAACACAACAACAAGGTTTTACCTTTCACGGTATCGAACTCACGACGTTCTGACTTAAGCACTGTATAGGCCTACGACGAATATTATAACAGAAATCGGTATGGATCATAAACAAATGACGTAACCGGCCCGAATCCTATACTAATAACATTAACATAATTATGGTTTAGACAGTTCCATTCAAGCAATGTTAAATTATGTTTACTTTCGGGCCAGTAACATAATTTGTTTTTGTTTATGAACCATGCTTATGTTCTAGAATTCGTGTTGTAAACTATACTAGAGGTCGTCCAGTGGTCGAAAACTCGACCAAAAATATCTAATGTACAGACTTCTCTATTTTACCTAAAGCTGTAAATAAAACATATGATTGGAATTTGTTCTATTTGTTTTGATTTTCTGTTTATATTTCGTTGTTATTTCGTCACCAGCATGGCAACCCATAAGGCCCGAGTTAATTTTTTAAATTTTAAATGAATTTTCTTGTGCTTATTTTTTATCCTATTTTAATTCATAAAGAGATTGTGCACACCTACAGGAAAATTTCTTTCTAACAATATGAGTAGATTTTCCCTACGATGCACAAAAGCTGAGAAAAAAAGGTTTTAAAGAAACATGCTTGCCTATTAATATATAGATTTTGTATGGATCTTCTGGTCTTGCTTAAGTGTCGCTGATCTATTGTGGACGTTAATGACGTGTAATACAAACTGCTATGGGTGTGGATTGAGATGAAGGGGAATAAACAAAGACAATATGAGGTGTAGGGGTGTATTTTCACAACACTTAAAATGCTCAGGGAAGAAAAGTTATCAATGGTAGGCCTACATTTTAAATCCACCCTCATCTTCGAGTGCTGACTAGCTTGGTTGAACTTTAGCGAATAAGGTTTTACTTTCGTATTACAGTAGTTGGTTTAATTAAAAAAAAGTCACAAAGATTTCATGCTGGCTTGTTTGATAGACATTTTATTTTCATGAGTAACAATCACGGGACATACTGTAGTTGTACATCTGGAATTCCATTCTTAAGTGGCGAACTTTGGAACTTAGTTACCTTGGATTAGACCACTCTAAAGTAACACTGTAGTCCCTGATATCAAGATGAGTGGACAGTTAGAAGTTAGAGCTTTCCCAGAGTATTTCACTTGTAGACAACTCAGGACTGCGAAGTAGTTACTTTCACAACTGTCTGTTCTCTGTTGCCAATATCGTCGATTTAATATCGATGTAGTTTATGCGAGCTTTGACCGTGATCGCACGATAGTGGATTAATTACAGAGGTGAACTCTTTACATTTCGCGAAAATATATATGAAATGTAATTAAACCATTACTATTTTAATTTAGTAATTTAGACATGTTTAAACTAATCATATGGTGTGTCTTCTATTCATTTTACCCATTAGACGAATTTTCAATGGGTATAACTCTGAGAGTTTAGTGCAGTAGATATTGGTAGTATGCCTGTTTAAGCATAGTATGAAATCCTCTTTGATTAAAAAGGATTATAATTGTTCTTTTTTGCAATTTATTTTTATTGTTAACACAAATTTCTTATTGATTTCTAAAATTTTGTTTTAGTAAACTAAATTAATTTGTATCTGTCAAGTTTTTTTTTTTAACCTGCATAAACTTATGAGTAGGTTCACGAAAAGCTTGTTCTGACTTGACGTTTTCTATTGTAATCTTTTATATCTAAAGGTGCTTAGGTAGGTCAATAAAATACGATTTAACTTCTAGTATCGGAACTTCTACTGTTTGATTAAGTCGAGTAGGCTATGTTCAGAGTTGTCCTTTTATTATAAAAAATATTGACTATGTCTGTTGCACTTTGTTGTTGAGCGAATAAAAATTGTTATATTATTCCTACCTAAGACCATAAGACCAGACAAATAATGGCAGCCTGAGCCTACACTGGATCTCGACAAAACATACGCTGATAGCTGTTATTCCTCATCTTGCAATGTGTATACATTGACGAGTGCAACGGCCAATATAAATTAAACATCAACACATAAAATGTCGACGCCTGCATTGAGCATACCATTATACGTAAACGTACTCTACGGTATCTATATTCTATATTGTTATATAACATCACTGTATCATTCATTGTACGTTACACTTATTGCTTTAAGGTCGTAAGTGGTGTGAGCAGAATTCGAAAAGTGAGGTTAAATTTATCGATTATGTTGGTTATATAAACGGCATCTGCGTTTCGATGTAGGGAAAATAACCAGGAAACGAGCACTGGCCTACTACCATTGACTATATATGTATATAGTCAATGCTACTACCCATCTTGTTTGGATCTCATTTTACATTATTTTAACTCTACAATTTAATTCTTATGTCTATGCTCTAACGTAGTCGTATTTTGTCCGTGACGTAACGTAACCATCTGATTTAAATACGAAACCGAAACCGGACGCTGAATTTTTATTTCAGGATTAGTGTTGCCTACAGTATTATTTTGAGGCTTCTGATTGGCTGAGGGAACATCATTACCGCGACGATACGGTTGATGCCAACGGCCTCGGTGGTATAGTGGATAGAGTGCTGGGCTGATGATCCGAAGGACCTGGGTTCAAATCCAACTAGTAGCATTATTTTTTTGTATTGGATTTTTTCATTATCAACTAGTTTGGTTGGTTTGGTTAGGTTATGACGGTTTAATTTTATAATTAAAACATTATGAAATTGAATTTGACCCATTTATAGTTTTATTTTATGAACAGAAATATTTTTTTTGGTTAAACCTTCATTTGATTTTTCATTATTAGCAAGTCTGGTTAGACATTTAAAAAAATTAATAAAAAAAATATAAAATAGGATTTGAGGAATTTATAATTTTATTTTATTAACAGAACCATTTTTTCGATTAATAAACCTTCATTAGATTTTTTCATTGTCAGCACGTTTGGTTGGTTAGGTTAGGTTATGACGGTTTAATTTCATAATAAAAAAATATAAAATTGAATTTGAGGCATTTATAATTTTATTCTATGAACAAAAATAATTTTTCAATTACTAAACCTTCGTTATAGTCAATCAGAAGCCTCTAAATGACACCGTTGGCAAAATTAATCCTGAAAAACAAATTGTGCAAACCGGACCCAGCTATCCCTTACCATTATGATCCTGACTGTTGACTGATGAAACAGCTGATCTTCGTCAGTAACGAAGTTACACCCATCTTCTCACACCATTGTACGCTCATCCTTCACTCATATTTGTGCTGGAAATAAGCACCTAGCTGGCGTCCCCATATCAATAAATTGATAGGTAATTAATTATGTATATGAGTTTTTTCCCGTTTCGCTCATTATCACGTTGGTCGTACAATATCGTCAAAGAGCCGTGACGTCAAATAGGCCAATCGGCAAATAGAGGTTAGCCGATTGTTTACAATATCAACGTAATGTGTGACACGGAGAAATTAACACTTGTATCCTGGACCTGTCTTGTTTTTCGTAGTATTTTAACCCAATTATCTTTCAACGCTTGCACTATTGTTCGATTTTCAGTCTTTTGATTTTCACAAAACGTTATAGACTTGTCGTTTGGCGTTTCAGCCAGATTTGTCCTATGCAATCCCGGCACGGTGTAGTGACGCTGGTCAGCTGGCCAGGTGTTCAGCTGGGAGATGTCCCGTTGTAGTGGGTGTCGACGTCCTCCTGATGGCTGTGAATGTTGATGTTGACGTTCAGCCGGTCTGACAGTTGTAAACCTGTCACTCACCTACGCGCAGACATAAGTTACTATCAAAATCCCACCTTATCCCGTGTTTTGCCGTTGAAAATCCCGGTTATCCCAAACTATACTATGGGAAATACTGTTTATCCCTAAATTTGCCGTTAGGAATCTCGTTTTCCCCTAAAAATTACATAACGCTTTTATTATGTTGTTTGTTTTACATTCTGTACCCATTTTCAAGATAACTATTTAAGATGTTCTTGTATGCCCCGAAACATCCTGTATAATTTAATTACACTCTCGATTCTTCAGATTCCCTAAAAATTGTTTGTTTCTTGTTTGGGATTGTAATTGTGAAGACTGATGAAACGGTTATAGCCTACATACGTACTCAGTATTCACATATAATATTCACCGCGTAAACTATAATAATAGTATGACTTGTACTATAGTCCTCATTGGAAATATTTTTGAGTTTGAATTATTTGAGGGTTTAAAATTGTATTACATAAAAATACAAATTTGTATAAAAGATGTTTGAAAATTACTTATTTAGATTGTTGCCTTATATGCCAGTCTTCCTAGCTCCTTCTTTCACAGCAAGAGCTTCATTCCTTAAACAAAAATTCTAAAAATTTTTTTCTTAACTGTTGCAGGAAGGATGGAAACAAAGGGAGAACAAGTTGGTGGAAGAGAAACAGAGGTTGCAGAATCAGCTGCAGGGAATGGTGTCAAACAATCTGCACGAACAGCTGAAGGATGCACGGGAAACTATTGTCAAGCTGCAGATAGAAGTTACTTCTTACAAGGTGAGATGGTATTATCTGTAAAAGCCCGCTAGTTCGACATCCAAGGTTCCGGCACTTGAAATAATACGACATTGGCATAACAGTCTTTGCAAATTTGTGTACGTTGTTTTAAGCAATATTAACGCGTTCGACAGAGGTATTAGCGATCGGCATACGTCGGGAACGATCGGTAGACGTCAGTAGCGATCGGCATACATCGGGAACGATCGGTAGACGTCGGTTGCGATTGGCATACATCGGGAACGATCGGTAGACGTCAGTAGCGATCGGCATACATCGGGAACGATCGGTAGACGTCGGTAGCGATCGGCATACATCGGGAACGATCGGTAGACGTCGGTAGCGATCGGCATACATCGGGAACGATCGGTAGACGTCAGTTAGTAGCGATTGGCATACATCGGGAACGATCGGTAGATGTTGGTAGCGATCGTCTTACATCGGGAACGATCGGTAGACGTCGGTAGTGATCGGCATATATCGGGAACGATCAGTAGACATCGGGAACGATCGGTAGACGTCGTGAGCGATCGGAAGATGTCGTTAGCGATCGGTAGACGTCGGTAATGATCGGTAGACGTCGGTAATGATCGACAGACGTCGGGAATGAGCGACAGAGGTCAGTGATCGAGAGACGTTGAAAGCTATCGTTAGATGTCTGAAGTGGGCAGACATCGGGACCGATTGGCAGATGTCCAGCTCATTCTTCATTTAGCAATTTCCGCTAGACTCGGAATAACGGCTAAGGGTCGTAGTATATTTGGTGTGTAATGGGGTGAATTAAAAAAAATAGAGTAATTCAGAATTTTCAATAATCTGGCAATGCAAAGTTCCAAACGTTCCAGGTTAGTTAAGGTCTTAGCTTTTGAAACAGAATAGACTGCAGAATAACTAGAAATCCCAAAGGACGGCTGAAGGATGATTGAGAAATTCCTTAACTCTTTACAATCGTTTGTGAGGTGTTAGTTTGAGTAATGAAAATTGTTTCGTTTGTTTCGTTAAAAAGTATTTTAGCAAAACAATTGTTTTTTTAGAAGAAACATTTCTTCACAAACTTCATAAAGCCAAGTTATTTGAATTATGATTTATTGAAAGTTGGAACAAATAAATTTGGCTGTGTTTCTACTAATCGCACAATTAAATTTACCAAAATATCCAAATTACATAACCACGAGTCACTTAATTACCTCAATTTTAACAACTTGTATTTACAAAGTACTTTTCTGTTACAGAGCAAAAATAAAGAGTTGGAGTCAGTCAATGAGAGGATAAGAGTTGAGATGCAGAGTTTGCAGCAAGAGTTGAACAACTGTCGCTGTGACCGCTCGGCTGGTGGCAGGAGGGACAAACACTCCGCTAGCGTCGGGTCTCAGATGTTGGAGATGAAAAACATCATTGCTAGGAAGGACATAGAGGTAACCAAGAGTGCCTATAGCTTGCTCTTCTACCAGTGGAATGGATATTCAAGCTATAACTCAAATAAAATATCCTAATTTGAAGAGAATTCAGACTTGTCAGTAATTTGTACTTTGTTGACCTGGAAATATAAGGTTCTTAAGATCTAATGGTCTTGGAACCTAGTGGTGTTTGACAAAGTGGTACTTGTCACCTTATGACCCAATAGGCATTCCCTATAGGCTATAGCAGTCTATGGTGAATAAGGGGCTGGGTCTGTGTCCTAAGCCGGGTATTGGTTGCTGGTGCGGGGCAACCGGTCCTTTGAGAAAGCCCAATAACATCAATTCATTATCTTTCAATTTGCAAAAAAAACTAAAACAATGCAGTTTTGCGGTTTCCCTTGAAGTTTCTGCCAATTTCATACCTAATTTCATCGTCAACATGTTTACGTTGGTCAACGTTTTCACATTTTATTATTGTTTACATATTTAGTTCTTGCAAATAAAAACATGTCAAGCAAAAATGTGTACCGATTCGTCGTATAAACAACGAATTAACGTGTAGCAGACGCAACAAATAGTCAGCTGATCAGATACCCACAATTCTATCTAACCACACAAGTGGAAGGGGTAGACCCCAGCCGCCAGCAACGAGTCTGTCTGTTCTTTCCTTGTCTCCAGTGTAGCTAGTCGGTAAAACTTTCGTATCGTGCAAATTAAATTCATTTCGCGGTGTTGGTCGGATAAATCTTTATTTTCTTAAAATCGTTTAGCCTATATCCCGAAGGGATATAATTGCAACGCGAGTGGAAAATAGAATCAGTTTTGTTTTGGAAACAAGTTGTAAAAAGTTTGTTTTTGCCGACCAACACAATCCGCCATTTGAAAATTTCACGAACCTCACACGAATCAAATCGATCGCGTTTCTTTCAATAAACCGTCTAGTTACAATTTCCCATCCTTATCCCTGTATGTGTATCAGTGTTTTTGTGGACGTCCGAAATCTGCAAGTAATTTGTGTTATTTATTGTTATATATTAGTTTCAGTGAGTCGCACATGTGGTAAATTTTCCTGTTGTATTTTGTTAGTTCCTGTTATATAAGCACATGTTTCCAGGTTCGATCTCAATTTGATGATTTTTCATATCCATTCATAGCGTAACAATCTGTATTATTTATTTAGCTGTGATAATCTAATAGTGTTAAAATTAAATAGATGAAAATGTTTTTGTAGGGTAATTCAGAGTTACTTTATAAGATTTTTATAGCATTGGTATTTAATATTTATATTTATTGCAAAGTCGTTATTGAAGTTCATTATTGAATATTGAAGGGTAATACATTTAAGAGTGCCGCAGTCAGTATTTTATTTGGGGGAAATTAAATAATATCAAGGTGGGAGCAGGTAGCTGGTTCGACTAGATACGGAGGTGTTATCGGAGGTTGTAACAGTTTATAAAATAGATGGACCGCCAAAGTACCAAATTAGCCATAAAATAATAAGCAACATTCCAATACCTATTACTACGATTAAGCACAATATTGTTTAATCAGTTGGACTGCGAGACTCGACCTTCGTTTTTGAATCATTGGCCAACGAACAGGATTTGCTTGGTACTGGTCATCTCAAACAATTAAATTAAATATCACTCTTCCTTTGACACATTCGCGATCAGTGTGTAACCGCGCCGTATCTTCCCTTTTGATAGATCCATTTCACATTCTAAAACGAAAGACCTCAAATTGACTGTAGCACTCGAGGTCATTCATTATTGTATATAAACATAACAAGCAATTATTAGGTACAATCAATTGTAGTACTCGTTAACACTGTACAATAAATCAAATTGTTATTCACCTTTTAGTTCTCAATAACCTTGGTAATTCATTATTAGCAATATTGGTTATCTAGTGCAAAATAGTACAATTCAGTAAGTCACCGGCCACTACAAAAGATTCACCTTTAAAGTGTAACACTAAATACTAGTGTAGTAGTGAGCAGATTAAATTCAGTGTAGATTAAGATTGGTCATTAATCATTATTTTAAAGGTATTTCAGTCTTTAAGAACTTCAAACAGTACCAAGGACGTCCCATAAGGACTTCTGGGGATAATTTTTTATTTTACAGGGCCCACTTAAATATTTCTTTAAGGCTCATTGCACACACACCGATTTTGGACGACCGATTTTTTACCGGTCATCCAAATTCCAATAGTGAACCACAGGCGGGAATGAGACCTTGCACACACGTCGACCGCTGGTCGGCGCCGGTAAAATGCCGATGAGCAGCCGGCCACTGCCATTGCATACCGTCGTTGCCAGGGAATGGCCGGCGACGCAGTGGCGTACGTAACTAAATACAAGCTTGCACACGCACCGATTTTTTACCGATCGTATCGACAGTTCTCGCTGCACCATTATCCATTTTAGGCGACTGCTCTTCTGACATTTTTAATTAGTTTTGGTAGTGCGTGTTTATAACGTTTTAAATGGGTGACTTAATAGATAAGGATGCTATTGACATTTTGAAATAGGTAGTTGAAAATTTTACTGCTATCAAGCCTAGTTCTTAAAAAAGTGTGTGGAATGTTCCCGTTTTTTCTCTGCTTCGATTAATTGGATAAATCCAGAAGATATGTTTGATCATACGGCGCTTAATACCTACGTCGATACAATAACTACATAGCAACAACTCTTTTAGGATTAAGTATTCAATAATAACTCAATAACTCGTTTATTGAACCAAGTGGACACAATTACATGTATAGGTTAGGACAAAATAATATAATATGCATTTTAATTGAACTTAGAATAATCTCTTAGAATAATATATTAGTAATCTCGTCTCGTCCTCGACACAACAACAGAGACTGATCGTTTCGCCGATAAAAATCCGGTATGTGTGCAAGCACCATGATCCGATAAAATATTGACCGACTTATTACCGACCGTCCAAAATCGGTGTGTGTGCAAATAGCCTAACACCAAGCTTCCACTGCCAAAGCTCTGTTTTATATTATTACCTTCCAAGTTCTTCCAACCTAGGGACAACCAAGATTTGTAAAGAATACATTTTTGAGAACATTGCAAGGAGTAAATATATTTAAATACAATATTTAAATATATAAAAGTAGAAGTCAGAATATTTTTATTTTTTCTTTACAAATGTTGACCGATTTACATGAAATCTGGTATCAAATTAACAGGGATTTTTAGGTAAATCACTATTATTGTAAGGAACTATTGCTATTTGACCACCTGACGGTTCTTTGCATCTGTTAGACTTGGTAATCTAGTGATCCGTCACACCCAGGCGAACTTTTCAGTTTCATGATTCTATGGTCTTTGGATTCTGGTGATTTTGTGATCCTTGTGATGATTGTCATCACTCAAACTCAAGTGTTTTGTGGTTTAAGATGCATAAGGTGACAGTAATTCAATAGTTCTGGTGTTTCATTTGCCCTGAAGGACAAATGGTGGTCTGAAATCAAATATGTTTGTGTTTTAGTGCGTAGAGTTTAAAATATGTCTATCTAGTATGCATTTTATTTGTTCTATCAATATTAAACAATATAGTACTATTCAAAACAATTGGTTGCAGATAGCACAGATGAACACGACGCTGAGGATATTGAAGGGAGAGTTGAGCAACAGGGAGGTGACAATGCCGATGAACTTTGGTCCTGTCGGGAGCAGTCTGGAGGACCAGAGTCAGCTAGAACTGACTGTGAGTCAGCTGCAGACCAGCCTGGCAGTGGAGAGACAGAACTACAGAGATTTGGCCAAAGAGAAGGACGTCTTGCACAAGGAGAATCTCGACCTAAAGCGACAGGTGGGCCAAGTTTGTTAGTGAGTATCTTTGACTATTGATAGAGGCTGATATTGTATTATATTGTTAAATTTGTTTCGGATTTAGAAAAACGAACATATAATTGAATTAAGCCACCGACAGAGTGCGCTGTTGTCAGTTATTTGGTTTCTGATGAATATTTTGATTATTCGACCAATCCAAATTGAGAAGACAATTTATTGTAAATTATGGCAACGGTTATGTCACATGAATTAGGAAAAAATACAATTTTAAAGACAGTGCACTCTATGAGTGGTTCCTGCCACTATGTTATTTTTTAATAAAAAATTCACTAAGGCTCATCCGTGTAGATGGAACACCAGTATCCGAAAGTCAATTTCAGTACCACAATACATCTATTGACACGCCAAATGGGGGTCAGATATTTTGGATATTTGCTTCGCAAAATATCTTTATAGTTGGTGTGTTGAAACGGGAGTTGATTTGATGATAGAACAATAGTTTTGTACTGTAGAGTATTACATTTTAAATTCATAACACTTAGTAGACATGCCCCTATGTCCGATCCTAACAGTTATAACTGTTAGGGCCAAATATCTTTGTTATATTGATTGTCAATGTTTTCCAAGGTGAGGGAACTGGAGAGCATCGTGAAGCGTAGACAGAGGTCAGAGTCGTGTTTTCCTGTGACGATCCCTGACCCGACGTCGACCTCACGACTGGCTCATCTAGAGAAGGAGTTGTCCAACAGACAAGAGTCGCTCACCACACTACATAGTCAGTTCATCAAGATGCAGGTCAGTTTACCTAATGGAATTTTGCAGTTTGGCTCAAGGGAATTTTTTATGGATATGAATAGACAAAGGTGTTGGCCATGTTAACAATCTACCACGGTACAGAGTACAGTAAGTCTACCACCTATCTGAATTTGTCAGAACCAGACCTAGTGTGAGCAAACGTCCTGAAAAACTGGGATTGTCCCAGCTTTTGTCTCACACACGGCGTCCCAAAAATGTTCCAGGACGCTTAATAACCTCGTAAGAATATAAAAAATGAAAATAGGCTACATAAAAGTGTTAAGCTAATGAACAGGTTATTTATTACCTGGGCATAATATTTTTATTACCTGGGGCTGGGGTACCAAGGGTGTCCACTTATGGGTGTCCTGGTTTTTCGAAGGATGATTTGGTCATCCTAACCAAACCCCACCTGGACAATCAAAAATCTTGATAATTGGATATTTAAAGGAAAATATTATTTAAAATAAACAAACAGAAGTTTAAAAAAATACATTAATAATGACCGTTTTGACATAACTAATGAGTCTACAATAGGGAAACAATTAATTGGCACAGATAAAATATGCTACTTACCGTTAACTGCAATTAACAAAATTTATCCAACCAGTTTCATTTATTTTTTATCCTTTAGATGATCCAGATAATTAGCGGGAATAGAACTGGGCGATTGGAGTTGAAATGAGGCAAACTTAGGACCTCATGTTCCTTTTTTACAGTTATCCTAAATATTCAGTCCTAAATATTCAATTCGATTTCAGTCCTAAATATTCAGTAAACCTAGTTCAAAGAAGTTGGAATTCTACAGTAGTTGGTTTAGGTTTTTTTTTTCAAACAAACAAATACACTGAATCCACCCCCAATACTATACAGTAGACAACTTAATCTTTTTCATGTAAAATCATTGATCAACTCCAACGGTACATTTACCTTTGCCATTTACAATTAATTTTACTTTCACAGAAAAAATATGAAGACCACATCCAAGAGCTGGAAAACCGGTTGAAGGAGAGCAGAGACGAAATACAGACGGTGAAGGCCAACTGGAAGAAGGAAGAAGCCAGCCAGAAACTGACTGCCAGGAAGATGAAACAAGCTCAGCCCGTGAAGGAGGAGACTCATCTGCTGGCAACCATCCGTGGACTACGGCAGGAGGTGGCGACCAAGGAGAAGGAGATGAACAAGCTGAATAAGGAGATGGAGGAGTTGCGACAGACCAACCGGAAACTGCAGAAGGAGAGAGAGAAACAGCTGAATGCAATGCCTTCCAAGATGGGGCTACTTAGAGGTAGATATACAAAGTGCCTTGTGAAAAAATCCTGTATTTCAGTCTGTTTGGAGAATAGGGATCTGTTGTCACATGTGCTTTGACTTTGGTTTTTTTTTAATTTAGATTTTTTGCCAACATTGGACAATATCATTATCATTTAGGCAAGGTAGTAGGGTGGATTTTACCCCAAATAACAGACATTTAAAACAGAACATTGTGCAGTCTCACCAATATAACACACAAAATAAAAATACCATCATACCCACTCACCAAAGATTAGCATTTTATAAAAAAAAACCTTCATATATTGGATCAAAGTTCTTACATAGACTTCCTATTACGTTAAAAACTGAAAATAACATCAATAAATTTAAGAAGATGTTAAAAATAATACCTTTTTCACAAACCACTATACTCGTATGAGGATTTTTAAGTTTATTATTTTTAGAATTAAGTTTTTGATTTGACACTTAGTTTTTTTTTTTTTTTTAAAGGGAGAGGAGGTAAAAATGCTTTTACGCACACAGGTAGCCAGCCTGTTGTGTGAGACTCCTGAGCTTGTCAGACTACTCACTAAAAAACCCCCTCTACTCTGTTGGACACAGACCTGGGATTGTTTGTCACATTACTTCAGGTCAGGTCAACGTGTGACCTAAGCCCTCAGGGCTCGCGCCGTTTCTGGCATTCAATTTCTTTATGACCTAGACTGCATCTCGGTCAAGCTCTAGCTTCTTTGTGCGGAGAATATCCTGGACGAAATGTGACATACAGGTCCAATTGTCCTCACCCTCCGTCATCATCGGAATGACCGTATCCACCAACAACTGCCCTACATGTTGTTCAGCCTCCAGGCGGGAACCTTCCCAACGCTGGCAGCGGAAGAAGGTGTGCTCCGCGTCGTCGGGAGTGCCTGGGCAGTAGATGCAATAGGGTGACACGGCTTTGCCCATCCTGAACAGGTACGACCGAAAAAACCCGTGACCTGTCAGAAACTGGGTAAGGTAATATAGTCTACCTCACCATACGGTCAACCCATGGTTGGACTTGCTGAATCAGTCTCCTGGTCCAGCGTCCCCGCGACTCCTGTTCCCAGCTCTCCTGCCAGAGCTGGTAGGTGCGGTTGCGCTCCTCCATTTTTGCATGGTCCTCTCCACGCCGCTGATAAATCGCTTACCTCTCCGCCGCCAAAAGTTTGACGGGGATTACTCCAGCAACCACCAAGATGGCAGGTTCAGACACTGTTCGGTAGGCGGATGCTACCCTGAGTGCTGCCTGACGCTGCACTCTGGCAAGCCGCATCCTATACACCTCCTTATTGAGCGCGTCTGCCCACACCTCCGCACCATACAGGAGCACAGACTGAACTGTAGACATCAACAGCCTTCTGCGACTGGAACGAGGACCTCCGACATTGGCCATTAACCGGCTAAGAGAAGAGATTTGACACTTAGTGTGCATATTGTGAATAAAGATGATTTGACTTGAATATGAATAAAGGATGATTGTAGAATTGAGAGATGCCATATAGACTAACCAATAAAAGTAGAATTCTCCTCCCGTTGTAAATTTTGAAACCTGTTTTCTTGTCTAGTTCATGGCCAGTGGCACTAGTGTGGGAAAAGTTTTGTACAAATGTTTTAGGTTTAGTTTCATGATTTGTGCTTTAATTTTTGGTTATATAACTAGGGGACTAGTTATTGTTTCTGATTAGATTGTTTTATTTGGTTAAATGAGGTTTTAAATTACTGAAATAACAAGAAACAATTTGTAAACAAAATACGACCCCTACAGTGCACTGGACAAAACTAACAATAAAATTGTCTTCAGCTGATCCATAAGGATGAGAAATCTACTGTTTTATCTATGGAGATGCCTTGTGTCGCTTTGATACTAACTAAGATCAGTTGTTTTGTTAGCCAGGATAATTTATTTAGCCAATTGAATAGGACAGCCGAGTCCAGTTTTGGATCATCAAAAAGCTACTGCCTTTTTACAGGATCGAACCGGTGATCTTCTGATTACCAGACAAGCACTATAACCACTTAGATACCCAGCCATTGGTCATTAATTTTTTTAAAAGGAAGATTTCTTCTTTTCTTATCTTTTGTTTTTATTTCTCCAAAACGTTTTCAAATGTCTTTTCCCCCTCTTATTCTTCTGAAATTTTCTCTGTGTCCGTTGTTTATTTCCTTTGAATTTTGGTGTAGTGTGTTTTCCTTTTAGTTTTTTAGTTCTTTTACATTTTATTTTATATTATTTTTCTTGTTATTCACGTTCATGCAATGTTTTAGACAAGCCTAACCTGAAGAAGATGGAGAAAGTCAACACTATCACTGGATCTCGAAACACTCTCACTTCTCCAAACAACAACATTGATCCCATCTTGTATGCAGGTAAACTAGACATGTACTTTAACTTAACTCTTGTTTTCTCTGCTATTAACAAAAACGTTCACTATGTTGTGTGTTTAATTAAGTGTGTTAACATATTGCTTTCCTGTAATAGTTTGCTCATTTCAACTCTTTCATCATTAGGAATTTAGTCTTGTCTTTATTTTCTTTTAAATAAATAAAATGATCTTATTGTAGGTACTAGCCTGCTATATTATGAATAAAGATTGTCAAATATAGTAAAAAACGTATGATACCTAACTAATGAAAAAACTAACCTCAAACAATTATGGTAACTAATCAGTTGGTTAATAAGGACACTAACCAGGTAAAGTTTGAGTTGATAGTTTGAACCTAAACCTTTTATATCCAACTAAATCGGCCACCATGAATGTTTCATGTCCGTGATGTGAGTTTTGTTTTCAAATTATTATTTTTATTAACTTTGATAATTTTTATGCAAAGAAGATAAAATTCAAAAAATTGAACGTCCTTGGCTGAATGGCTCCATGTAGGGCTGAAACTTTTGCAAAACATTTTTGAAAAAACTAATATAAAGTATTTAACTGCACAACCTTCTATTATGATCACAGGCAACCCCTGTTAAATCTAATATTTGCATACTCAGGGATGATTATAGAGACAATTTAAAATCCTCTTAAATACCATGAAGTGAAGATGTTGGTTCTACCTTGTTTTAATTATTTTTGTACAGAGTTACAGGAGTCAAACCTAATCCTCAAGTCAAAAACCAAGAGTCTTCAGGAAGAAGTAAAGAGGTTGGAACAAGATCTGATTGCGATGCATAACAAACGAGTACATGATGTAAGTCAACTTACTTAACTTTCAATTTTAGTTGTTGGCACTTGTTGTAGAGAGAGACCTTAATTTACGGACAAGCCTCGTATTTCCTCCATTTTTATTCGTAGAATATTTTGACAAGTATTATTGCTATGGAAATTCAATGATCAATAATGTGTTCAATGGTTTTATCGGAAGGCAATGAAAGGGTATTTACTCAAAGGAGGTACAGAAGAGCCTTCGATGACGTCAGCTGTCAGATCTCCTCTTGAGGGAACACCATTACCGCAACGATACGGAATCCAGTCATCAGCCTCGGTGGTGTAGTGAATAGCGTGTCGGGCTGATAATCCGAAGGTGCCGGGTTCGAATCCTGCTGGCAGCACTAACTTTTTGTCAACAATTTTTTTCATATCAACAAGTTTGGTTGGTTTGGTTACGTTATGACAGTTTAATTTTATAATTAAAAAATTATAAAATTGAATTTTAGGCATTTATAATTTTGTTTTATGAACAAAACTATTTTTTAGATTAGTAAACCTTCATTCGATTTTTTCATTATCAGCACGTTTGGTTAGGTTATGACAGTTTAATTTAATAATTGAAAAATTTTGAGATTAATTTTTCTTAATATTATAATTAACTAGGCCTAATAGTGAAGTAAAAATTACGCCCTGTGCTCTCTACTACAACGCTGTTAACGGAGGAATTTTGAACTAAACTATGATGTCATCGTTGCCTCATTTGTACCTCCCTTAAGGCAGACCCCAATGAAAGGATGTTATTTTTTTACTGCAATTTCAAAATATTTTTTAAGAATTTGACTTTTGACTTGCTTATCTATTTCCAATCTCCAAAAATCCTAAAATTAGTTTTTTTAGCAAAAAAAAACTGTTAGCAAATTTTAAAGAATATTTTTAATTAATTGTACTAGCCGATCTATAATTTTAAATTTGTAACTCGTTTACCAGAAATTTATTTTTTTAGATTGGCTGATGAGTGTCTCTCATTGTTTGAAGATAACAAGTTCTGTTGAGTTGGCAACTGAATGTTTTTGTTTGGTTTTTATCTGTAGTTCTGTGAATAAACGCTTAAAACAAACGAATAAGCTCTGAGTTTTGTTTCTATTATTTATATTTTGTGTTTTTTTGGATTAGTTTTTTTTTTTTTTACTTTAATTGTCGTACAAAAGTTCATTTAAAAGTATTTTTTTAACTTTACAATAAGCTATTTGTAAAATTGTATAACCAGATTGTACTTACTAGGTAGGTATATTCTGTACTACGTCGTTGTTGTTATCCCACATACAACACCAAAAAATGTTTTAGAAAAAATGTTGGCTTAACTGACTTTTCTAGTATCATACTGCAAATTTACCAGCTGAAACAAAACACGCTTTGTTTGATTGAACTAAAAGGACTTGTTGCTTGTATAAAATATGGGCGGAAAGATTAAATCTGTTGTTTAATGTATCACTAGTTGGCGTTTGAACAAACTGGCTGAAGCTTGCCTTCTTTCTCATGATTTAATACAGCAGAGGCTAAGTGATTTTAAGTTCAAAATTATTACTAGCTACTGTGTGAGAGAATGAAATTTCCTTGTCATTATTTCCTACTTCCTAGTACACTTCTCATTTATCTCCTGTGTAATTAAACCTAAATTTATAATAAAGCTGACAACAATTAAGTTAAAACCATAATACATCTTCAGAAAGTTCAATCATGCACACTATTGTGTTTTAAACCGATTTACGTTTAGCACCTATTTTTAGTAAGTAGTTTTCCTACTTTTTGTTATGAATGACTCTTTCACAAGCGACCCTTTGTCCATACTTCAATACTTTTCATTGAAATGGCGACCATACAAAGTAGGTGTTTTAAGCCAAGTATGAATAGAGATGAGTGTAGGATCTTGTAGTCTTGTTAGTCTTGACTAAGGCCGACATATTCCTTAGACACAGCTGTTAATTAATAGCCAACACAGCTAATGGCAACTAAGGGACCTACAGTTTATAGTGGAAACCAAACCACATTTTTGCCTTGGTATTAACAAATTGGTCTAATTATCAGGATAGTACTACGGATATTCCTAGTACTCGCTAGTGCGGACGTTAATGCACACCAGAGAGTATCGCATCCACAGTTCACGCTTATATATATCCACAATTCGTGACCTCCTAGTAGCTGGATTACAGGACGACACCACCGTCACAGTCATAAGTCATAGCCTCATAAGCAGGGAGCAAAATGGTCTAGTGGTAGGACTGGGGCTTTGGTCCCCAAGGTTCATATCCTGCTAATCACCAACGGGTTTTATGTATGCAATAACACCGCGCCCCTCGAGGACTAGGCTAAACCTAATAGGTCTAATGTGTAAAACAGTTCCAGGCTAGGGCTTACAGTAGCGTCCTAGAATGTGAAGGTGGGATACACAAAAATAAATAAACGAATAAAATAGTCTCATAAACAAACAAGTCACAACCCGCTCACGTTTTATGTACTAATGATTCTATTGGTATTTTCTCTCATTATTTAGTAGGCTATAGTTTTGGTGTACCATACCCTTAATATGTTGATTTAATCTATAATATGTTGATCTATATCTATCTATGTTAGACTTTTTAGTTAGCACAAGGATCCTTACTGCCGTGTTTGAACAAATGTTAGTCCATTATACTCTTGACTATTATCAATGTAAATGTTATGTTTGCAGTTGAATATGCTTCAGAGTGAACACGAGCTTGAGACAGCTCGACTGGTGGAGGAGCGAGCGGCATTGATTGCTCAGAGCTCCTCCTCGGAACTGGAGGGACAACTGTATACTCAGCAGATGGTTATCAACCATCTGAAGAATAGGCTCAAACAGTGAGTGTTGTCATCTTGGCGGAAAACAACCATTGTCATTGATTTTTTTCAATTTAACCTCACATTTTGTAAAAACTGAATCTGAAGCCTGTTTTGAAGTATTTTATCCATGGTACTATGGTTATGTTTTAGTGCTGTGATTTGACTTAATGTTACTTTCTCTTTTATGGTAAGATTTTACTATTCGTACTTTACTCTTGGGTTACATTTAAGTATTAATTTATCTTTCTTACTCATAAAGAGAACATGCAATAGTTCACAAATGAATTTGTCATACAGTGGTCTCCCTCTTATCCGGACTCCTTGGGACCGAGGCCCGAGGCCAGTCTGGATAACGGTTTTTCCGGTTAAACCGACGTCCCCAGAAACTCTTTAAAACGGACCGTTTATATGCATACTGTATACAGTATTTGACTTAAATTTAGGAGAACATTGTATTTAGACACGTGATTAATTAATTAATCACCATGGAGTATCACATCCACAGTTCATGTCTATAAATATCCACAATTCGTGACCTTATTTTAATTATTTAAAAAAATACATAACTGGTATCAAATCTTTCCCAACAAAAGAGTCGTTTCAGTATCGCCCACTTCCTGTCGATATAGTCCGGTCAAACCGACGTGCTGATAAAAATTGTCTGGTTAAAGAGATGACATTTCCGCCAAGTGTATTCCGGTTAAACCGATGTCCGGTTAAAAGGTGTCGAGATAAGAGGGAGTCTACTGTATTTAGTTAAAATTAGGGATGGGTCAGTTGCTAAACAAATTTATAGACAATATACTATTGTTTCCAACACCTATATAATATACTCTACAGTTTGTAAACAACATTATTACTATAATTGTATAAGTCCGCGAAGTAGCACTTTGCGTTTGCGTTACACTTAATATTTTCCCTACATTTACTATAAACAAAGCATATAATTAGTCTTTCAGACTCTAAACAACACATTTTAGGTTAGGTTAAATCCAAGCATTGAACGAAAATAGAAACAATGTTAACACGAAACCACATGTTAAGTTGTAATATCAATAGTCAAGGGCTGGGAAACACTGCACCAGCTGATCGTAGTCGTAGTATCTTGTAGTGTTGCCAACTTATTTTCAAGCGTACAAGTATTGCATGCCTAATAAAAGCACGCTGTTGTTTTGTGTTGTTTGGTTGGAATACTGGAGTGGGCAAAGTAAAATTAGTGTGGCAAAAGTAAGTAAATACAGCAGTTAGCTACTTTGCGTACTATGATCTGTGCAAAAAAGCCGGCTTTTTCTGGTAACTGTAGGAAAATGAGATTTGAATAATATATTTAAGGGGAAAAACCCATTAAACTAACAACCAATAAAAAAACCTGAACAATGAAATCAGCAATGATCTATCACTAGTTTGACTAGTTTTCAAGTAGGTTTGTTGTTAAATGTGTAAGAAATACCAATTTAATGTTAACTAATAGAGTAGGCATATTTAATGTCATTGCGTCTGTGTGTAGGATGGAAGAGTTGAAGAGTGAAGTGACGATGCTACGAGCTGAGAGGGATCACCTGGAGCAGAGGCTGAGTGTGGTCAACAAAGAGATGTGCTTCCTGCAGAACGCCAATGCTCACTCTCCCGTGAGTTACGTGGTTCAGTAATGAAATTCCTTTGAGAAGAGACACATTGGTGGATAATTAGTTTTTAATAGATGCAATAATAATAGAAAAAAAAACAGTCTCAGATAGTTTTAGAACATTATTCTTTTCACATTTTGTTCAGTTTAATTAAACATAACTATTTTCATATCTTAATCTTTGGTTTAAAATAGATATTTAGTGAAATCATCCTAAAGTGTTATAACCATTTCATTTTGTTGAAAATATTATAATTTATTATATTGGCTTTTACACATGAAACCAGTTGACAAAAACATCTCTGATGGAATTTAAATGCACTTGACTAAACTGAAAATGTGTTTTATATTATTTGTATCACTACTTCATCCCTTAAAAGATCTTTTTACTGAATATGTGTTTTTAACCAGTATAATAAAAGACTGCTTCCATTTTGTGATAAAATGGTTACAAAAATGTTACAGATTTATTACACTACACATTCAACTCTTGTTTTTATGCCTTGTTACGTTTCCTCCAGGAGAGTATCCAGTACAAGACTCTTCTCGAAAAACTGGAGACTCTAGAGAAGAACCAGGAGATCAGAGAACAGAAACTGAATGCTATAAGAGAACTACTGAGTCGCACCACACAAGGGCAAGGTAGGGGTAAATTTGAACATAGACATTGGGCGTTTTCACACTACACAGCACGTCGCCATCACGGCGCTGGCCTGTCGACGTCGGTAGTGTTATCATATGAGAGGGTACACACTGGTGCTGTGACGGTGACATGCTGGCGACGTGACGGGACATGCTGGCAAGCTGCTGGGTTGCTGTTGCCATGCAATCACCGTCTGTCAGTAGTCTCAATCAGTGTCAGTAAAGTACATCACAGCCCTGGCCTGAGTACAAGGTGTGTGCTTAGGATCACAAATTAACTTCTCAAATAAATTGTATTAAGCACCATCAACATACCGCACTTTCAAAACAGGGTGAACCCACCTCTTTCTTTCTGACCGACGCTTACGTCTGAAGTACAACAAATATAATAAACTAGAGAACCCGTGCGGCTCAATGAGCCGCATAGTATAAAACATAACACCGAGGAAAACGTTATGCTTAAATTCGAGTAATTCTAGTAACATCTTAGAGTTGTTTAAACACTTGTTAGAAACTAATTTGTATTTGCGTCGTCAAGGTTCACCTACATCTGCTTTGAATAGGCTAAGGAAGCAACACCATTGAAATTTGGTTAACGTATTTCTACATATAAAAACATAAGGTCCGCCAATATTTGGTTTACTCTTACTACTTGTACTTATCATAGTCAAGGCATTATTATAGTTTCTCATAAATCTTTTGAAATATCTCGATCTGGCAGTGTCAGAAGTAAACATTTCTTGCATGCATTAATTTGATCTGACATTATGCAAGTTTACTTTACCACCGTAAAAACACTCTGTACGTCGTATATTTTATCACTTCCAAAGTCAGTTGCATAACAGAGCTTGAAAATATTATTCATATCACCAAGTGAATTTGTATCTGGATGGGTATGTGTTAGACCAGGCCTCTCTTTTTCTACTCTCCTCATACGCACAAGATATCTTATTATTAATTAATTATTAAATTAATGTCCTCCTCCCGTTTTAAATATTTCTTCTTTGAACTTGAGGCATTTTCTGTTCTTCCAACAAAACTGATTAACTGTTTAACTTGATCTTAACCTACTGAATATACAAACATAAATATTTACTCCGAAAAAGCCAATGAGTATCTTTTTATAAACAGCTGTTTTTTGTTTTTAAATTTGTTCCATGTATTTCTTATGGGGAAAACCCGACCTTTGAGAAGGCCTCACGCCCTTAAGAGTAGGAATTTTAAAATTCTAAAACCTTGTTGCAAAACTACATATTGAGACGAATCTTTTGACACCTTAAACGTTGAAATTGGTCCACAAATAAGGGAGGAGTTGCGTTAACAAAAAACGGCTACACGTATTATATATATAGATAGATATAATCTTCTATTAAAGTCAGCTATGTTGCTTTTCCACCAAATCTAAAAGCTGACAGCACTGACTGCAGTTAAAATGTTGTGCTCTTAACGTGTCGTTGCTGACAAGTGTGTAAGGACCCCGGCCGTTTTAGAGCTGTTGCTGTTGCAGTGCTGGCGACGTGCTGTGTAGTGTGAAAACGCCCATTCTAATAATAAAAGTGGCCTACTTGAAAAATACAATTTTGATCATCAACTGAATTAATATTTTGAGATTTGTTTTAAAAAAATACTGTGTTTTAATGAGCTAAAACTATCCATTCAGTATACTCCCTCTGGTTCATGAATTTTGGAATAGTTCGTTGTCTAAAATAAAATAAAGTCTAGACTACACCATCTGAAATCGGTTAAAATATTAATCTATACATTCAATACATATTGTTAGCAAACTAATGTACTTTACCGTAAAACAAACAAACAGCATTAACATTTTGTCTGTCCAATCAGGGCCAGATTAACAAGCTGTTACTTTTCAATTTTCATGGCGTTGAAAAGTCAGCCGCGCTGGCTGGATGAACCAAACATCCGAGAGAAAGATAGTCTATGTTTACTTGACTTACATAGACTCATGGCACCAAAAGGGTTACCTGTAGGCTATTATAGATAAATTGTAGGAATATATAGATTTTATTTTATACAACACTGATATACAAGTATAGTGAAATATATTTTTTACCAAGACAACTTAGGTTGATCAATCTACTTGTCATCTTATCTGAAATAATATTCATTGACTGTGTTTTCAATGAGGTAGTAGAAATGTAAAAAAATGTTTCTTTGCCAAGGTCAATGCTCTGGGACGTGTCGAGACAAGCTGTTGGACAAGAACCGACAAATCTGCTTCTACCGAGCTCAGATGGACCGGATCCTCGAGTCGTTGGTTGAGATCCGGCGAACCAAGTGAATCTGGTCGTCACTCCTCGTAGTTTGTAGAGGCTTTAAATAGTCTTACATTGTTACCAAAAAGTAGTCATTTCACATTTTAAGGCTAGTATTCTATCTACATTGGCTCATGATGATTTGTCAATTTTTTATTAAGTTCACTCGCATTTTTTTAGCTATTGACAAGCTAGAAGTTTTTAACTTTAGGAAGTCTTAGACTTTAAGAAAATGTGAGTTTAGTTTTTCATAGATTGAGAAAACTATAGTTTTTGATATAGGTGTTAGTGAAGTTTAAAATAAATGTTTACTAGATTTTCACTATGTATGCTTTTATGTAATGGAAGTATGGTTTCTTGGATGAATTATGTGGTAAACCTGACACTTCCAAACAATTACTGTCTGACTTCACTAGACTGATTTGCTTTCCAGTGCCAAATTTTATACCTAGAGCTTTGTAATAAAAGTGTGGGATGTTACAAGACAAATTATTAAATTCAATTTGTGAAGGGTTTTAACTTCTTAACTAATTCACGGCATTAATAATAAATTAGTGAATATTTTCTGCAAAATACTAAACTTAAAGTAGTATACACATTTTAAGCACCGGAAAAGCAAAATTTGGCTTAGTAATACATTATATTTTGCCAATGATGCTTCAAAGTTGAAACACACTAATGCTTTGGCACATTAATATACATAGATTTTGCGAATGAATGGGATGTTATTTTTGATTTCAATTAGCAAACTACTAGTAAAACTAAAAACTAAAAATAAAAAGTTGAAATATTTATTACAGTAGACTCACTCTTATCCGGACTCCTCGGGACTGAGACCAGTCCCGATAACGGGTTTTCCGGTTAAACCGACTTCCCCCAAAACTCGTTAAAATGGACCATTTACATGCATACTGTATAAGCCGATAATGATTATTATTATTACATATTTAGACATGTGATCACTGGTCTCTAATCTTTGCTACGAGAACTGTCGTTTCAGTACCGCCCATTCCCTGCCGATCCAGTCCGGTTAAACTGATGTGCTAATAAAAATTGTCCGGGTAAAGAGATGTCATTTCTGCCAAGTGTAGTCTGGTTAAAAAGTGTCCAGATAAGAGGGAGTCTACTGTAATTGTAAGAAGTTTTGCTATACAAGATTTTACTATTTTTGCTATACCTACAAGTGTTATGAAAAAGTGTTTAGTAGGGATGTTTAAATTCTTGATACCACTGATTTTAGGAAATTGGTATTGGTGTCAAGAATTGGTTGTCAAGAGTTGATACCAATTACTGACGGGTCTGAGGAAATTGCCTGATCGAAAAATTCTTGATTTTGCTATGATTGTAGATGATGATAAAGTTACCGTGATGATGAAAATGTCCACCCAATCGCAGAAAATGTTCATGATTCTGCCACTGATTTTGGAAGATGATGATAATGTCTTCATGACCACGGGAGGGGATATTTATATTATTTTACTGCAATCATGGGAGACAATGATGGTGATTCCTTGATGTTGAAGATTTAGCTGTACAACTGGGGGAGATGATTGAAATTTTACCGCCATCGCTGAAGCCGATGGTGATGTTTTTATTACCCCCGTCGTGGGAGATGATGAAGAGGTTTTCGTTACCGCAGGGAGATATCTAGCCCACTATCGCGAAAGACAGTGATGATTATCCGGTTTAGATTTGAATTGGCTAGTCAGAAATTTTAATTGGTGCATTCATTTTTTCTTTACTTTCAAAACACCCCATAACCTCAAAATTACTTTGTATAAGGGCATAAAGAAGTGGTTGGTATAGTAAAACTAATTCATAAAGGTCTGTAAAATAAAAATAATTGTATCAAAATCAAGAATCAAGAATAGATTTTTTCAGATATCATTATCAGTATCAGGAATCAATAAGTTTAGTATTGACATTGACACCTATTTTTTATTTAGAGATTTTCTGTGTTCTTATTTCATTACAAAACCAATTGAAGAGTAAGAATTTTGGATTTTTGAATGACTTGGAATTTAAAAACTAAACTCCTTAGTTTAAAACTAAACAGTCTATGTCAAAATTGTGTTACCATCTAATGTTGACCTGTGTTAGGAAGCATCTTTTGTTTGATAGCGAAATGACAATGGAATCTTTGAATGTTTTGATTTTAGTCTGGAAAGTTATAAAACAGTGCATTGTTCCTTCTGTACACATTATTACGCATTACTGTTAAGATTTTACAATAAGCAAATCACAGAGGTTGTCACCCGCAGTACGATATAAACATCTTGGTCTGTATACTGTCCTCATTATGCTCCCTAAGAGCAATAATCCCGAAATTAATTTTTTTTTGTCTTGAAAGTCATGGATAACAATGATTTTACATTCTGGTAAAGGGTTAATTTTGTTATTGTATTTGACTATAAAATATATTTGCATTAAAAAGTTTAGTATGTTGTTTGTTCTAGTCTTATCCACTTGTATTTGTGTTATAGCTTGTGCGTTGTCTGGTGAAGCCTAGGGGTAGGGTTGAAGCCCCTACAAAACCGGTTCAGAGCCACTCTAATCACCTACCCCCAGGCTTCACCAGGAAACGCACAAGCTCTACAGTTTTAGTAACTTATTTTATTTATTTTTTCATTGTTCAGTTATTTATTTTTTCTAAAGTTCTTTTAAGTGACTGAATTTGAGGTAAAACCAAAGAAAGTTGTGCCTGACAGGATTATTTCCTTTTGTAGGTTAAGGATTGTATAGTTTGAATAATTAGGTTGGACAACTAATAATGTTAAATTGAAATAAATAATTTTATTCTGAGTTGAATGGATTTGATAAGTTCTACTCCGTTCACAACATTTAGGTGGTGTGAGAGGAAGTCATTCCATCACCTCCAACTCACCCTAACTTTGAAATAACAGCTGACAGCTGATCAGGGGTACATTAAACTTTAAAAAGTGTTAGTGGAACCTAGTAAACATTCCCCTTAATCCGCCAAAATGTTATGAACGGACTATAATAAAGCCTGGTTGTAAAAATGTTCAGTGAGTTGTTGTTTTTAGATTTACGTTGTATAATATAAATGTAATCTAAAGTAGCTGATGAAGAAAATAAAAAATTGTCTGAAAAGCACAATGCATTAAAATCTTAATATGATTGTTTTAAATTATACAAATAGTATGGTATTCAGATTTTATGTTTGGTAGATTAGTATAAATAATTGAATTTCTTCATTAACAATTGTTTCTGAAAACCGCTTGCAAAAACTTTTTTATTTGTTTATTCTACGTAATGTATACAAAGCTTGATGAAGGATATGTTTGTATGTTCCTTGTAGCAATAAAATAAACCAAGGTACTCATTGATAATTCAGTGATTTACAGTAGGCAGAAGATTTAATTATAATTTTAAACCTGTTACGATAAAACTAAATTAAACAAATGCAAATTTCCCTAGTAGACTAGATTGCGGTTTTGCAGCAACAGGTACTTGATTATTGTCTGCTTTAGGCTGCGGCCACACGGGCGATTTTTTCACGTACAAACGCAGCATGAAAACACACAAAAAATATGAGCTGCATTAAATGTAATGGGGAGTGCCCCACGCAGTGTGTTTTCCCGCAGTAGTGGGCGCCTATTCATTTCAATGCTTCTCTAATTTTTCGCGTGTTTTCACGCTGCTTTTGTGCCACAGCCTTAAACATACTTCATTTAAATAGTTTAATACCCAGTGGTGTTATTAAGTGTAAGCTTGTAGTTAAGTGAAGTGTTTTCTGCTACTTAAACTGTAATAGGTTTGCCGTCCTATTTTGCGTCCACTCAGCAAATGCTTAGCTTAACTTTCACGTCTTTCAAACTGTATCCGTACACATGAAACAATGTAGAGTTTCTTTTCTGTTTTGATCACTTTGTGTGTTGTGCATGTTCAGTTCAAAATCATTTAATTGTCATCCGTGGAATTTATACATCAATTTAACATGTCTGTCAAGTACTGTATTAAATTGAATTTATTAGACAAAAATGTGATGCTGTATGAGTTATTAATGCCATTTACTAAATGTTAAATGTTGTTTACCTTTTTAAGGAATTGTTTATCATGTTTGATGTTTGAAAAACTATAAAATGTTGTAGATGTCTGAATTGTTAGTTACATTGTTGGTGCACAAGACAGGGTTTCATTGAACTTGTTCTAGAATTGTTCTCAACCTGTTTTGGTAATTGATGTAATGGGATATAGTTTTATCAATCTAGTTCTATTGTTATGTTACACATTAATTGTGTCAGGTTTTAATTAGTAGAGCCCATAATGTGCGGTGGTATCGATTTCAACCAGCTTAAATTTTTGTCTAAATCTACACTTTTGATGGTCAAAGTCAGAATATTTTCTCAATTTTGAATTGAAACTCCATAAAGTTTTAAAACTGAATGAAACTAATTTAAAATATCCAATTTTTGTTAAAGATACATTAAACCTTATTTATTTAAGTAAACAAAAACCTACTCTCAGTATTACTGTATTGAGTAAAACAATGGTAAAACTTAAATTTGCAAACAAGATTGCAAACATCTTACACTTACAATGAATTGTCACTTTAACTTCTTTGATGTACAAATTAAAATAATAAAAAAAGTGTTGTGACCTATGAATAAATATATGGTTGTACATTGAAAATATAAGTTTTATGTTGTTGGTCTACTCTTATTTTATTCTAAATTAAATAACATGCTAGAAAATAAAAGTCATCAAATTATCAAACTCTTTTTTTACTAAACAAAATAGCATGGTGGAAAGGAAAAGTCATCTAATTATATCTATAAGTTTCCTTATATTATTATTCCTTTATTTGTTTTTTATAGTTGAGGTTGAGAATGTTTGTGTCGTAGTGTAACAGCTATTGCACTTTTTGAAATATATTTATTTAAAAAATTATCTACTTTAATTAAAACCCCGTTTATTATAGGCCTACAAAGATTTAAAAAATGAGCTTCAATAATTTATAACTATGGAATGCAGATTCTCTCATCTGTCCTAATGATTGTATTGTGTAATTTTACCATCAAAGTTTGGAAGAACCTTTCCTGACTGTAATGGATTTTAATTTATTTCTTAAATTGCCATCACCTTCACTTCTGTATCGGCTAAAAAAACCATAGATGTATTGATAAAAATTCTGGCGATTGCGACTGAACCTTCTGCACATGGTAAGAATAAAGCTGTTATCCATTTCACAATGCAAGATACAAAAAACATATTATAAATATTTCACCATCACATGGGTAGGGTGCAGCACACACCATCACCGAGATGAAGAGCAACTACTGTGATTTTTTTTTCAACGGCTGAATTGACTGATTGCAGCTCACATCTACTACCTATCTTAGATTTACAAAGAACCAGTTTGACCTTATTTATTCTTTTGATCAAAGATGAAATTTTATGAGATGTGTTCATAACTGTATGGAGCCCTTTGGCCATGCTATGATGGACCTTTGGGTATCTTTATATTACAGTAGAACCTCGTTAAAAAGTCTCTCGAGAGACTTGTTATCAAGGTTGTCTTCTTATCAAGGTTTGCAGTAACATGTGATTGGGTTTAAAATCAATTTAAGGGGATTTGAAAATGAAATTTGTTATAGAGGGTGACTTTTGTTAAAGTCAACAAGGGTGTTAATTGTTATTGAGGTTCCACCGTATTTTTATTATAATATTCAGGGTTAACAGTTTCCAGCCACAGACAGTACAGACATGGTTCCTAATTTGTGAACCACTTCAATCATCTAGTTTTAAAATCTGAAGCACCCCCTCGAGTATATAAATATTTACTGCATGTTATATGTCAAAATTTTGCAGCGATCGGCGAAGACAATGGTGATGTTCCGTTACCGAGGGGGGTTATTTGGAGTTTGCTGTAAGCGCGGGAGACTAATGACAATCTTTACACAACCACGGAAAATTATCAACATTTTGCCCCGATTGTGGAAGACGATGATGACATTTCCGTGGGAACGTTTGAGACGAGGGTGATATGTCTACGGCCGCTGGAGATGATCATAATTTAGCCGCGAACGAACGCAGAAGACGACGATAATGTCTACACGACCGCGGGAGATGTTCATAATTTTGCTGCGATTGCTTAAGACGATGATGATGTATGTAGGGTTCTGCTGTGACTGTAGCTCGAGCTCTCGTTGTTCATCAAGGCATCCAGTGGGAGATGTTGGATTAATAACGAGTTCGAAAAGATTTGAGAAAAACGATGGTTTATTATGCAAAAGAAATTTAGCTGCCAATTACACTTTTAAGGATTACACTTTACTACACTATACTGTTACAATTTAGATACGGTTACATTACTTTCAAGACTTAGTTACAATAATCAATAATACCGGAAGGGTCATCGCGACTGCGAAGGGAAAGAGAGAGACACGACTAGAGTTACGAACAGTTATTCATGACACAAGATGGAGAAGGACTGAAGCCGGTACAAGGGCTACTACTCGGCAAGACGGAAGTAGAGATAGAGAAGAAGGTATTCACCGTACAGTGCTGCGCCCTATCAACAATTCTAAACATTGCGCAGCAGTGATACCAACTGCATGCGTTGTGCATGTGTCACGGCTGCGAGCTCTGATCACATATACACTTCTCATTCTCAACTGAATTATGTTTCATAAGATAATTTTGACTGATGAATGCTGTAACGTTACTGAAATAACCTGTATTCCCTAATACATTGATATTTGTTGCTAATACAGTTTTTTGAGTATCCTGAACTTTCCTGATTAAAACAAAAAAAAGTGAAGTTAATGCCGTCACATGACCGCCGGAGACAAAGACGGTGTCTATACGACAGCGGAAATTGAACAAAATTTTACCGCGATTGGCGAAGACGATGATGACGTTTCCGTGACTGAGGGAGCGGTAGATGATCAGAATTTAGCCGCGAAACGTGGAAGACGACGATACTGTCTGGACACGACCACAAGAGATGTTCATGGTTTTGCCGCGATCGCTGAAGACGATGATGCCATTTGTTACTGTGGGGGTCATTCAGGGGTTTGCCGTGACCGCGGGAGACAGTGACAACGTGGGGGGGGGGGGGGGGGTTCACATTCACCTCTAATCTCATCCTCCCTCAATCTAAATCTGGATCCACCACTGGCACAGACTAGTGATGGATACTTTCCTGTCGGGTACTTTCCCGACTCGAGTGACTCGACTCGCCAACTGCCGTGAACTCGAGTTACGATTCGAGTCGACCCGAAACCAAAGCATCTTGTGAGTCTGCAACGACTCGGAGTCGACCAATAGGGTTATAGTTTTGCGAGTCGGCCGACTCGGTAGCGGCCAATAGCGTATCAGCTTTACGAGTCGAGTCGACTCGACTCGAGACGTTCCGAGTTTGTGTAAGTTCGGCATTCTCCGTACGAGTTCGTTTTGTGGATCGTGAAGGGTTATAGTTTTGCGAGTCGGCCGACTCGGTACCGGAAAATAGTCAATTTTAAACAGTTAAATCATTTATGTTTACTGCTGCAAGTGTATTTGGTAAGATACATAATTTTATAAAGATAAAAAAGTCCATACTATTTTATTTTGCATGTTTGTACCGTATTTCTGAACACTTCAAAAGATATACCACTAAATTGTTATCATTTTATTTATTTGTTTATTTTTATCTTATTAAGTATATCCGTTAAAGTTATATTTATTTACTTAAATCTCTTTGTGGGACCTTATTTGAAACACCCAGTGATACAATTTGAACTGATACAGATCCCGCCAGACTCGCACTCGGCCAATAGGGTTTCAGTTATATGAGTCAACTC